TAATATTACAATTTACAACACCTACTGGCCTACATATTTATATATCGTACATTTAATCTACCTTCAAACATTTTACTATGGTACTACCTTTAGGGGAGATGTTTATTATTATCATATTATAAAAATAAAAGCTAACATAAAATCTTTATTAAAATGTTTGTTATTCAAGCCAAGAATATACTCTTCAAAACTTATAAAAATATAAAAAACTGAACATTCACTACTTAAAATTTAACTATATCCGGAATGTTTGTAAAACAGTGTTTAAATACCTATAGAAGAGTACTAATAACTCTACACATAATTCCTTACATTCAACTCCCCTTAGAAAAAATTTTAATTTAGTTTTACTTAGATTAAGAACTGTATTTAGACAGCATAATTTAAAAGTCTATTACTTCGATTAATCGATTGTTTTATTTTTTACCGAATTAATACACTTTACTGTAATAAAAATATTTTTTATTACATCCAATATATTTTAAACTATTTATCGTGTTATTATATATTTACTACTATTGAAATGATTTGATTACTTATTAATAAATTTAACTCTCATCTCTGGCTCAACCATCTTATGGCTTTAGAGATGGCTCAACTGTTTTTGATGTTTAATTCATACTCATGTTTTCACGTATTATTGGAAATAAAAATATCATTATTATTTGGAACGAATAATATTAATAAATAACGAACGTTTAAATGTATTACGAAACATCTATTTTAAACATTTATTATTTTTATTCTACAATATTATCTGAAACGTCGATATCATTCCTATCCACGCATAAAACTTAATTCTCAAATTTAAACCTCTAGCGTAATCATTTTACGAGTAAACCCCGTAGGATGATTCTTGTCAATTTTTTCCTCTGAAACTACTGATGGTTGAATCGCGGATTTCATTGCTGCCATCCGCGAACGACCGTCCAAAGTTCAGTAAATTAATTAATGGATTTAATTAAAATAACCGATGGACTGAGTCCCAGCTGCTTTACCACCGTACAATCTGTTTACGCGACGGCCATACCCAATAATGGTCCTATGCCCCGAAATGTGAAATGATTATGCGTTTACCGATGGCATTCTGAGTGACAATATGATTGCGAATTGAACATGTTGACACGGGTATTCGAACATTTTCCTAAAAGATCATTTCATGAAAATTAAAATTTTTTCTCTAAAAACCATTCAACGAAAACATAAATCCCAAATTAATTTTCTTTATTTAAAAAGATCATCAAATTATAGATTATACGTGTATATTGTATGAAGCCAATAAATGTATACTAAGTTGGCAGGTAATATATTGATTATACTACCTACATTAGTTATATTTTATTATTTTTTTTTTTTTTTTGCAAAACGATAAATTGTTAAGAAAAATTATTTAAATTTATCAAAATGGTAAGTGTTATATCAGAGCCCAACTTAGGGGGGGGCTAGGGGGGCTGCAGCCCCGGGCCCCGATATTATTTGGGGCCCCGGGCTCCTGTTAATATTTAATTATTAAAGTGGCATTTTGAAATAATTGTATGATATTACTGGTTAGTGGTTACGTAGTTTCGTTAGTCGCGTATCGTAATGGAATTTATGATTATTCTCTAATCGATAAAATAAGCTATTAAGTTTTAAGATAAAGTTGGTCAAAAGCACTTTATATTGTTATGATTACAATTTATCTTAACATAGGTACATTTTGATGGTCAGTTTCGCATTATTAGTACAATCGGTACACGGTACACTAGTAGGTATTCAGTCGACTGTCGTGATATTAAATTATTAAATTAGTTTTTAGTCGAGTTCGTGAGTTTAGTTTGTTACTAGTGTGTACCAAAAACTATTGCAATTTAAAAATGTCTGATAAAAAAAGGATTTATCTCAGTGGTTATGCAAAACGAAAATTAAAGAAGGAGGCCGAAGATGCAGTAAGCAAGTTACCTAAATTAACTAATTTTTTTGAAACTATCAACAGTGCAAATAGAGTAGAAACTAATAAAAATAATAAAAATGATTTGGTTCTAAATAATAGTTATATTCATGTTGAAAACATGAATAATGATAGTAATAGTGTAATGCCTAATACAATAGTGACTTCAAAATCTGATAGTTTAAATTTTTCTGAAAATAATATTAACAGTTGTTCTACAATAGAAAACTCAAAATCTGATACTAATAATTTTTATGAAAATAATGTTGACAATGATTCTACAGCAAAAAATGCAGTGATTGCAATGAATTTTAATTCGAATATTCATACTATTGAACTTGATATTGAATTATATCAAGATCCGGGAATGTGGCCATTAGTGTTAAACAACAATTTTATAGAATTATGCTGCTTAAAAGGACCAGAATTTTTTCAGAATATATATGTTAGTTCATTAAGAGAGAAGTTTATATATTTTGAAAACAAAGCAAAGGAATTATCAACTAATATTTTGCCCTGTGGAGAAAAAATTGTTAGGAAAAAAAAATTCTCGGATGGTACAACAGAAGGAAATTCAAACTTATGCGAAATAAGGAAGTTTGAGGTTGATACTTTTTATGTTATTATTGATTGTTTAGTTACTGAACTTGATAAAAGATTAAACGCATATGATAATCTTTGTAGTATTTTTGGGTTTATTACAAAATTCGGTTCACAATTATTATCAGAGACTTCTACCGACATATTCATTAGCACATTTAAAGATGATATTGATACAATAAATATAAGACAAGAGATTGTGCACTTTTCTAGTTATGTAATGCAGTTAAATTTACCAATAATTTCTCCTCAAAATATTTACTTATATGTACATGAAAATAATTTAAAAGAAGTATTTCCAAATGTGTACATTTCTCTGCGACTTTATTTAACTTTGCCAGTTTCTAATTGTGAAGCAGAAAGAACAAATTCAAAATTAGAACTAATTGAAAATGCCAGAAGAACGTCCCTTCATCAAGAAAAATTAAATTCACTCGTTCGTCTGTCTTCTGAAAGGGATATAACTAATACACTTGATTTTTCAAATCTAATTCAAAAATTTGGTGAATTAAAATCTAGAAAAAAACCATTGTCTTAAATTATTTAACAAATTATTTCTTTAATTATTATTTATTTTTTATTTTAATTTTTTTATTATTTACATTGACTATGTTGAAAAATGCATTGCCACTTTGACTTTGTATACAATGTATATGATGTATATAAGTAAACATTTGTTTGAATTAAAAACTGTACTAAAACTTCTTTATTTTTATATTTATATTTTTAATTGCATCGTTTTATTTATATTAATTGCCATTAAATAATTTTTTGTAGCTTTATTATGGTATAATTGATTTTTAATCCTATATAAAATAAATTGAATATAACAAATCTATATATAACATAAAGACTGCATTTATAATTTAAGTTGATAATAATAATAATGATAATAATTAATTTTGGGGCCCCATTAGAAAATTTGACCCGGGCCCCAAAATTCCTAAGTTGGGCTCTGTGTTATATTGTAGATATGATATTCATAAAACCTAATCGATCGCCCGTTGACGAGATATCTTTCTTAAGTAAGTACTTTCTTCAATACTCTAAGCTTACACACCCTTCAACTGCTTAAAAATATTTACTGCTACTTAAAATTAAAACCATCATTGTTTGCTCAATGATACGCTTTCGTTACAGCACTGCCTTAATAAGCACGAAATAAAAAATATTTAACTAACGTAAGCAATATAAACATTACATTATATATAATCATTAATCATTATTCTATACACGTACGCATAAACTTAAACATAATGCCCCTATAACCTAACACCGACATTTAAAAATAAAGATAATTAATCCGGGATTTAAATATTTGCGAAACATTTTTTCCAGAAAATTAAATCAAATAATATTGATTTTTGTAAAATGATCTTTTAGAAAAATGAACGGTAATCGTTGATATCAGAAAAATGCTACTACAGCTGCAATAAGAAGTATTAGGTATAAAATAATATCATGTTATATTTGTTATTACAAGCATTATTAATTAAAAACAATATTTAACATCGTTAAATGTGTACCTCTATTGCCTAAACACTACGCCGTGTCATACCGCGTGTTTAAAATGATTAGAGTTTAAGCATAAGTAAAGGCTTAGACAGACTGCCAGACTGGGTTAATTAGCTCAAAAAAATGATGTAACTAAATCAAGTGGCTTATTAATATTATCAATTTTAAATCATATATTATATTTTTATATCAATAACAAAAATAAATTTAAAAAAAAACATGGTATAATTAAATTTATAATCCTTTAAAAACCTACAAATTGCAATATTTTAAATTTAAAACTAAAAAAAACGCATATTAAGCCTCGTTGTATTTCTAATAAATTTCATTGTATTCTCTAGTAAAGTAAATGTAATCAATTTAATTAAAACTAACATTAATTAAATTACTAAAGTTTTAACGGTCATGTGGTTAGTTAAGTACTAAAGTATCAAGAACAGTGAAATTTAAATTTTTCAAAAGATTTGACCAAGAATATTATTAGAAAAATAAACACTCTTATAAAAAGTACAGAATATTTATAAAAATATGGCCAGCTATGTTCAAAGCTCAATTTTTCTAAGATTATAGGTTCTATAAAAAGGCCCACTAAATAAACTAATAAATCAATTAAAACCCATATAATATTGTGTTGGTTTATTTATTTGATGTGGCAAAGTCATAATTTACATAACAAAATTTTGCAATGGTAATTTGTTAATAAAAATTTGAATTTTCAATCTTATAAATTTTATATAAAAAAAAAAAAAATGATAAAATGTTATGCATGATAATATAATAATTTTATGAGATTAACATTTTCTTATTTCAACAAGTGCATATATACCTGTTCTTCTAAACGGCAACAAATTAAAAACACAAATATTTTGGAATAATTAAAATAAATTAAAATAAAAAAATAGATTATAAATTTAAATGTATTTAGTAGAAAAAAAAAATAATTATGAATGTAAAAATTTTTTATTTACGCATGATTCTTATAAGCGCAAAATAAAAAACATCTCCAGTTGTATGGTTCGTTTTGAACGTTATTTTGTTCTTTTTAACTTAAAAATATATTGTTTAAAAAAAGTGTCAAAAAATTTTTCATTTACTACAAAAAATTAATAAAAAAAATAATAATTAAAAAAAAAATCGAAAACATAAATAAATAACGATAAAATCATGACTTGTCTTGAACATCAACCAACTTGAGTCTCTCTGACATTTCTTTTTGGGCAGTTTCTTCAGGCAAAATTAAGTCTGTATACTCGATTTCAGAGACACTATGATATCTGAAATAATGAGAAAAAATTAAATTCTGTTTTAATAAAAATATTCTAATTAATGTATGTAATTATTTTAAGACTTTAATAACATAATTACATATATTATATTATCTAATTTTACAAAGGTATAGCAGAGCAATATTGAGTATAGCAAATATATTTTTAAAGTTTAATAATATTCATTCCAAAACATGTAAAATAAATTAAAATATAAGACCCTCAAATTTTATTACTTATTTATTAATACTCATTATTATTTATATTTTATATATAAAAAAAAAAAAACCTTAACATGCAATTAAATATAAAATTAAATTCTAGATTTTGATTGAACATAATACATGTAATTGAAAAATGAAACATAAATGTTTATACATTGATAAATTTTGTTGACATAATTATAATTCAGGAAATGTACATTATTACTATTTATTACTATATATATATATATATATATATATATATTTCTCGGTTATCTAGTCGTAAATAATTTTGGTACACATATATCTAATAACAAATTGAACGTAAAATAATATATACAAAAAAATATATAAATAACCAAAATGTATTAAAAATATAATAATTATACCTATAGAAAATTTTTTTTTAATTACATTTCTAATTATTATAAATTTTTACACATTTAGTGGTGAAAAATTGATTTTAAATAATAATATAACACAATATGTATTATTATTTAGTATTCAATACCAAAAAAAGCTTTTACATATAACTAATCACAAAATCAAACATGTTAACATACCTGGCAGACTTGTACTTTGTTCGAATGGCAGATTGTTGGGAATGTGGAGCAGTTTTATAAGTTTGATTTAAATGCTTAAGAACAGGTATCAGATCATTTAAACTATATTTAGTTAATTCAAACATGTTTTCAGGCCAAATAACTTCATAGTTTAATATTAATCTAGCTAATGCAACAGCTCCACAGCCAATCAAAGAAGGTGTATAAGATAAGTAGGGATCAGCTTCTAGTAAACTCATTTCACCCAAATACTAGAAACAAATAATTCATTTTCATTATAATTAATTTATTCAGAAATAGTATAATATAGATTATATACAAATTAAAACTTACCATTGCTAAGTACATAACTTTCAACGGAACATTACAATGAACACAAATATGAGTCAAGAAAATAACAGTTGTGGGATTTGAGACATCAAACCCTAAAACTTTCAATATTAACTGTTCCATTTTAAGCACTTGTTTTTTTGTATAAGTATCATCAGTTATATAAACAAATTCACTAACATCTGGAGGATAAATTTCTTCATATTTCCTATAAAAAAAATTATAAACATCAATTTTAAAGTCATTGTGTATATAAAAAATAATTTAACTTACGATGCAACAAACATAGCAGCAGTACCCAACAATTGGAGTTTAGCACGGACAACAGACATTAAACTCAGAAAACGATCAATAAATGAAACAGCTAAGTACAGTGTTTCATTTTGTAGCTTATATTCTTGTGCTACTTCAACCAACCAATCAACTAATATTGCTCTCATACTATACGTCACATCTGGTTGTCTTCTCATGTATCCAGGTTTAGGACGATGTAATTTCTATGTATCAAAAATTTTTTTAGTAAGTAAATACATTTTTAACAACTGAATAATATATCTACCATTACCTCAACATTTCTGAGATAAGAATATAACTCGCAAGTGTAAGTATCTACATCACAACTTAACCTATGTGCAGTCAAAGAATGACTAGTACTTTGTAAAGACTTGTCATGATCAACTGACATAGGTGAGTATACACTGCTTGAATCTACTGATTCGTCGATATCTTTTATGTCTTTCTCATCTGTTGGTATATTTTTTATGGATGGTGGAATAATTTGGCTCACATCAGACAACGGTTTTCTTTTCTCTTTCAATTCTATTTTAGGTACAGTAACCTAATGAATAAATATGTATAAATATATTAGAATAATAAATAATATTATATTCATAAATTAGGTAGTTATAATATATTATTAGTTATTACCTTTGCTTCATTGATATTAACTTCATTCTTGAGCAGTGATGGCTTTTGATTTTCCACATTTTTTCTTGAGAAGTTTTCACTAGCAGCAGCTTTTTTAAATACTTGTGGATCTTCATGAATTGTAAATGGAACTGATGATTTGGTAGTAAACTCAAATTTACTGGATCCTTGAGGCTAAAATAAAATGATACTATAAGTACTACTATGCACTGTTTTATATTATTTAACTGCAAAATAATGTATATCCATTATAAGTACTAATTAATAATATTTTTTTAAATAATTATACAATATTGTTTTTAATTAAAATAGATCCTCACTAAAACTGAAGGATATATTGAAATAACACCTATAAGTTATAGTATATATTATATCTATACAGAAATAATAGAATATTTTAACTTATTCAAGGTAAAATAAATTTCATGTATAGATACTTATTATTAAAAATTTTATAATTTCATGTTTTTGGGCACAAGTCAATGAATTTAAATAAAATCACTACAATAATACTTATATTAAATCATAACTAATTAAGTTAGAAGTATTATGTAGATAGCCAATACATTTAGAGTAAACTAATCCCAGCACATAATATAAGAACTGAAAAAATTAAAAATTTAAATGAAAACTAGAAACTTTAAAAAAAAATCAAATTTAAATAATTTTTAACAATTTTATTATACAAATGTTATAAATTAAAATTTGTATTGAATAGGTACTTTAAAAATTGAGGAAAATTGGTTGAAAAATTGTATTCTATATATATATTCAAAAATATATATTAGGTAACAAAATAATTTAAACAATATTTTTCATAAAATCTAAAGAATACACATTTTTACATATCCCAATTTAAAAAATTCTAAGTAAATTTTTAAATAAATAACCAAATTAAGTACTAGTATTTATAAAATATAAACAACTGCTAACTTATAATTATATAGGTAGATAGTGCAAATTAGCATATCCACAGAATTCAATTTGCTATAAAAATTGTATTTTGTACCTACCTACAAATACTTATTATTTCTTAAATTTAATGAGACCAATTATTGACAACATACAATTATAATTATCATGATATACTAACCTATTATGGTTATTTTATTTGAATAAAAATGCTATATGTATAAATCACTTATAAATGGAACACTAAGTCAAAGATTTGACTAGGTAATTAATATATTAAGATTATAAAAGAACTTTTGAATTATAGTGTAGGTAGAATAGTTTGTTGTAAATGGTCAATTGAGTTAATGAGAAAAATAAATGAAGCCATTTGATAACTAAATAGGTAACGATTGCAGTAAAGGGTACATACATAATTTCCGTCGACCCAATTAACATATTAAAAATAAACCAATTTACAAAGGAAATCCCACATTGAATTTTTCGGCATATTGTTACATAGCAACTGCTCTGATTTATCATAATGTTAAAAAACAATTATCATAGGCCTTGGTTAAAAATAACCTCGCCCACGTTCAAGTAAAAACACTATACTTTAATCCAAGATCCATTATCCTCGTAATTTATCATTAAATACAAGATACGAATTTAAAAAAAAAAAACAATTAACGTCAAAATTTGAGAAATCGATTAAATACTATATAAATTTAAGCACCTTGGATTTCGGCTGCGGCTTTTTGTTGAAAGGTTGTTTGGCGTTCAGCACCCCGAGCACCGACCGTCGTTTGGAGGGTTGTTGATCCCTCGATGGCACGTTATTCTCCTTGTTGCGCAAAACATTATTGGCGTTTTCTTGATCTCGAAAAACCGTAAATTCCATCTCTTGTCGCGATTTGTAATAATAATGATATTCGATATTATTATTAAATAATAAATATCCCGAATTTTAACGGCGGCGTTCGTGTCGATGGCGCTGGTCAGTTGTCAAGCTTTAAGTCGTCATTCAGGAGCGAACGAATTCAATATGTTATAGGTAACAATATTTTTATCGTGTTTTCAGTCGTAAAAAAAAAGATAAAATTCTCGAATTTTACAGATTTATACAGGTAATAAATGTATAAAAGAACGCACTAATAGTTGAGCGAGTTATGAATAGGAAAGCAAACTTACGTAATAAAATTTTATGTATTGGTTATGACCGTTCTAATTACGAAATAATTTACGAACACCAGACCTATACCTAGTTATTAATAATTAACAATCAATACTCCGTGGATTAGATCGAAGTTGTTTGAACGGACGACGGGACTAAACGTTGCGCGACCCGACCGCCTTTAATGGAAAAGACTCGCGACAAACAATTAACAAATGCTCACAAAATCGTAACCGTTATTTTTTTAAACGACAGGTGCAGCTGAGGTGTTTGGCCGAGTCGACTGACGACGCGTAATTGTTGCAGTGCTACCTACCTATCAGTTACCGTCGGGTTGGTTACACTGTTAGTATCCTTATCGTCGATAACGTGTATTGAGGCGGTTTCGTAGATGGCCATAATTTGTATTATATATTATTACTCTACTATGAAACAGCCGCGGCGCGATCCGGCCCGGACCTCGTGCGTCGTGCTCCATACCGTGATAAGACGTGCACTACACTACTACAGTGGACAGGTCGAACAATCAACGACAAAACCAATAACGGCAATAACCATTAGCCGACGGAAATTCTTGTAGGACATGTAGTTACTGAATTTAATTTTTTTTAATTTGGTCTTTAACACCTTCAAATTTGATCAATTTGAGTAGTAGACATTTTCGAGATGAACTCGATTAAGAAGTGAGTACGATATTCCAATTATTAAACAAATGGCTTCTAACAGTTCTAACAAATATATTTAAAAGTACGTCCAATTTTATACGGTTTACCATTTTTTCAGAAATATTCAAGACACATATGCTAAGGAATACCTGGTAAGTTTATTTTCATTTTTTAAAATCGATTATTTTTATACATAATAAGTTAAATACAATTAAAAAAACACTACTTTAGGCGCTTAATAAAAGAAATGATGGTAGAGAATTAATGAACTTTCGAGATGCATCACTAAATTTGAACACCATACATACAGCAGATGGATCGGCAGCAGTAAAAATTGGGAATACAGCTGTTGTTTGTGGCATTAAAGCAGTAAAATGGATTATTTAATTATAATTAAATTTTAACATTCTATTAAGTATCTTTACTATTCTAGGAACTAGGTGTTCCTAAACCTGAAACTCCAGATATTGGATATCTTTCAGTGAATGTTGAACTACCTAGCCTATGCTCTAAAAAAATTCGACCAGGTGTTCCATGTGATGAAGCGATGCAAACTACTAGTTTCCTTAATGAAGTGTGTAATAATTGCAAAATATTAGATTTACAACAATTATGTATTTCTGTAGATAAATTAGTATGGGTCTTGTCGTGTGATATATATTGTTTGAACTATGATGGATCTGTTTTAGATGCATGCTTAATAGCCTTGTTGTCAGCACTAAAAACAGGTAAATTTAAAAATATTTTAATGCCAATATTATTTTAATCAATAAAATATTTTGTTGTAGTTAAGATACCAGAAGTAAAATACAACAAAGAAACTGAAGAAACACATGTAATTGAAAATTACATTCCATTAAATGTTAACAGTTTACCAGTATCATCAACTTTTGGAGTCTTTAGTGAAAAATATATTTTAGCTGATCCAACTGAAGAAGAAGAGCAACTATGTGTTAGTAAATTGACAGTTGTGACCAATGGTTCCTTATTATTTTCATTGCACAAACCTGGTAAGTCATAATTTTATAAGGTTATTCAAAATATTAAATCTTTAAATATTCCTAAATAACTTAATATCATACCTTTGGCATAAATGTGCGTATATACTTATAAGTAAAGTTTGGATTTAAAGACTATTTAAATAATTAAAAAATTACTTAAAATGTAAAAAAGGCAAAAAACAAAAGTATTTGTTAACAGACAATCTTAAATTTACACATCATGAACACATTTTAATTTATAAGTTCTTTCATAAATAGTAATCACAAGGTAAATTAACTTCATCTTATTATTGTGATTGAACATATAATCACAATAATAAAGCATATTCATTAAAGGTTATTTTATACATATCATTAATATTATTTTCACTAGCTTTTACCAATTTTTACTGTAATTATGCTCAAAACAATTTAATTTTTATTTCAATTTCTTATGAAAAAAAAGAGGTTTTTGTCTTCAAATCCTAACCTTACTTATAATTTGTGACGCATAGTTAGTATCATTTTTTAATTTTAATAAATACTATTCACAGTAGCAACAAAATGCAACTAAAATTAAACATATAATATGAATGACACAGTTTCAAGAATAATACCTAATTGAATGAAAATGTATTAATGGATCAATCACATTCCATTAAATCATGTTTAAAGGATCATTAGCTTACTACTGATTCATTGAATGTTTAATGGTTATTCATATAACTCAACATTAATTTTTTATAGACAGGCATAATTGCTTAAATTTTGTCTAAATCTCATTTTGTTGATTTAATAATTTTTACTTTTTCTTTTAAACTGTCACTGAACGATTCCCCTCTCTGCACACTGCATAATTACCCAATGGTCTGTGATATCAGCCACTTACTATTCACCTACCCCAACCTATCAACAAATCGTGACCACCTACTGTCCCTTTTGAACACCTCAAATATCCCTTTCAATATTATAAATATTTTCTCAAATAAACAAAAAAATATATTAAATATATTATTTTTCTTTAACCATACTGGCTTTTTAATTTAATTGTATATTGTTACTATTTTGTTTTTTGTTTTTTTCTTTCTTTTTCTGTATATAACTACTATATTATACTAAATAATTGTTGAAACTAATTGTAATTACAAAGTTAAAATAAAAAAAATAATTATTTTTACGTATAAAAACAAAAATATGACATTATCATGTAATTTAGTTGCTATACAGTTTAATTTTATTTATTTTGATACTTAATACAACGCTAAATATTCCTTGGTTTTATATTCTTATCTCAATTATATAAGATATTTAACTTAATATTGAATTGTAAGATACTAAATTTATATAGATGTGTATGTGTCTTGTTATGTTGCTAGTTCATAAATAATCTCATTTATTTATATAATATTTAATATATTGATTAAAAGCAACAAATAAAATTGTTTTCTTTATTTTTATTTTAGGAGGAGAATTCATAAAAGATAGCCAAATTCAAAATTGTATTAGACTCGCTCAAAACAGAACTAAAACAATTCATCAATTATTAAAAGCTGCTCAATAAAATAACTGTTATAAAATTATAAATATATTTTTAAATGTGTAATATTATATAGTGTTCTATTTTTTTAATTTGAACTCGTAATATAAAACAAAATTTATACTTTTAAGTAACTAAAAAATAGTTTATTTATTAACAATTTGGAATGATTTTTTTTGTATTTAAAACTAGCTATTAAATTATAACAGTAATGTATTTTTGAACATGTATCATATAGTAGTTTTTTGATACTAAATGACTTAATGTTATAGTCTTTTATTTGTCAGTTGTACAAACTTAACAGTAAACACTTGATATCAAAAGGGCTAATCTACATATTGTGGTGGATTAGATCTAATGCTATGTATTGCCATATTTATTTTTTTTCAACTCCAGCAGGAATGTTACAAAATCATTATGGTGATATGTGTATGTAGAAAATACCAATTGGTATAAATCACTGCTTAAAAAAATAGATGGCTTGAGTATATACATAATCATAATCACAGACAATTATAGTTCAAGTGATATATTTAATCAAGAAAACAAAAATAGAATTAATGCTAAGTCCTAATAACTGTATAATAAAATAATTATTGTCACTAAATAAATGTAGTTGATTAATTTGGCTGTAGAATTAACAACACTATAGTGTAAAATGTGAAACATTTTGACCTTAGATTCTATAAGAAGTAGAGGCTTCTTTAAACAAAGATTTAATTAAATAATGTTGCTAGAAGCCAATAAAGAATTATAAAGTAATATTTTTTTTTTACTTAAAAATTAATTTAAAACATTAACATTGTATATTAATATTATTCTTTCCATGCCTTTGTTTTATTAAAAAAAAAAATCATAATTTCCCTGTGGTTTTCATAAATAATGTGGTCTTAAAGTAGTTTGGATGTATCTTTGGGGCCCCAGCCTAAGTTAACCACTTGTGTAGATGACTATAGGCTGTACAGTTGTAAAAAAGAATGTCAAAATTATTCACAAAATACTGAAATAGAATAAAATATGATCTAAAACTATATAATTACCAAACATAAACTAAATAAATTATCAGCAATATTTTTTTATAATTATACTATTATGATGTTCAAGAGACCACAAAAATAGATCATAATAACTAAAATTTAAAATATACACATCTAATAAGGTATACTTTTACTATCACATATTACAAAACTATCTGTGATTTTAGTTTGTAAGTTGTAACATGCTTTTCTTAAACAAAAATTATGTGTTATCATTTCTACCTTTTTAAAGTTTGTTTATTTATTATATTTTTAATGAATAACAGTCATATGTAATTTGAAAATGGTTGTTTAATATTAATTATACCTTATATTGAAAATTATTCTCGTCGTAAGCCCTTCATAATAATATGACTCGTGGTCATTATTGTCTTATTGATAAAATATTTATCTTAATTCCCTAAAAATTAATGCACAAAGATTCAGTTTTTCAAAGCATTCATTAATTTTTTTTCAACGAAACTAAAACAATTTTTGGATGAATGATAAAGCTAACTAATTAATATGTTATTCTAAGCAATCAAAAGTTTAAGTTATATCTAGTCACAGAAGTGAAAGCTGTGTTAAAATCACTTAACAATTAACGTTACCTTGTGATAAACACTAAATTATAATACTCGTATTATGATCAAATTCAAATTGTGATTACTTATTAAACTTAAAGGTATTTTATAAACATAATTTAAGTCATTCCTCGACTGAGCAAACCGTAAGTTATTGATTATGAATTCTTGATACTGAAAATTGACATTAAATACTGTGTTCGAGCCCAAATTGGGTCGGCGAGCCATAGAGAAAATCTCGGTGAGCCGGTTACGACTGTAATTTAATTTTTTTTTTATTGTAATAAAAAATCAATAAAAACATTAGTAAAAATATAATTGAATCGAATTATTAAACCATACAATAGCTGTAACTGCAATCGAAATTAGGAATCCTAAAATTTGGTAAGTTGATACCAATAATACCTACCTACCTTACTTTTTTGGCACTGACCGCTTAGACCCAATTATAATTTTTAACGAACGTACAAAATAATTTTAAATAATACATGCCTTTAAGGTTATAAATATTTTCAATGATGATTCGTGGCTATGATGTGTCGTATATACTAGAAAAATTACTATTAAAGTACACTACTCATCGATCACTTTTTCTTACGACAACCAACCAACAACCTAAATACCTACTTACCTACTGCTATGAAACTATTGAAAAACTACGAGGAAAACACAAAAAACTATTGAAATAAACACTAATATCTGTTTCAAAATTTTAAATAAAGACTATTGAGTTTTTATAGGTATGTTAATTTTAATATCTTTGCATTTTCTTCAAAACTGCAATAATATTTTCTCAAGTCCCTACACTGCGTTTTTCGATGTCAATATGTTTTTTTAATTTATTTATTGTCCTTTGAACAAGTCATTTGGATTATCATTTGTATAATATACGTGTATTGTATACGTTCCTTATTTAATATTTTATTTCAGATTCATAGTTATAGAAATGAGTAATTACCGCAAATACATATACTAGGTTTTTAAATAAATATAACTTTTGATTTTTCTAAAAACATATCTGTCTTATTTAAAATAACCATCAATTTTTAAACAGAATTTCAATCATAAACTATTCCTAAAAGTCTCTTTTATTTGTTGTTAACATAAAAAAAAAAAATTCTTGCCTTCTTAGACCTAATGCCATTTCCCAATGCATGTCTTAGTACCTTATTATGTTTGATCAAATAGAAGCTCAAAAACGCTTAAATATTTTATTCAACATTTTACAATATTTTCTAGAAATAAGTATGAAGAATTTATTTTTAAATTATAATTGAAAATAAAAATTGTATCATTGATAAAAAAAAAGTGCCAACGGCACGTAGTGTTCCCAAGCGGTCACCCATCCAAGTACTAACTACGCCCGACGTTGCTTAACTTCAGTGATCGGACGAGAACTGGTGTATTCAACGTGGTATGGTCGTTGGCGAGATTCTTCTGAGAAAATAATAATATTTAAACACAATAAATCTTAATAATTAATGAAATATTATTTAAATATTAATACATTTCGAAATCATACCATACTACTATTAGTAAGTAATATATAAATTATTTAAAATAAAATATATATTATCATGCTGATTTTTATGATTGTGAATGTTTATGGAGGTACTTAGGAGTTGCTTGAGTTTTTCTACGCCGGCATAGAACGGAAATTTAACTTCAACTAGTTAATTAGTAATATTCGTCAATAAAACTTTATTAAAGTAAACGCAACACTCTACAATAAACATTAATGTAAAAATTGAATTTTGATTTTGTAGTAAAAATTCAGTTGCTATATTGCCATAACCATAAGTAGATACGTCCCTGAAAATCGGGATTGTGGTACTGGTTTTTGATTTTATATCCCGGTGTCCCGAACGATATTTTCGGGACGACTATATGTCCCGGTTTTGGGAAAAAATTAAAATAATTTAATTTTGACAATTTTTTCAAATAATAATGTAATTGAACCAAAACGTTATTTTTATTTTATTAATAGGTACCTATGTAGTATGTACCTACATCTGTAAAAGAGTTAAAAAATATAATCAATTTAATAGTTTAACTAACTGGAAAAATAAAATTGCTAGTGAAAAATGACAATTTTTTTTTAGTTTGTCAATATATCATGAACAACACAAAACTTTTAAAATTAGCTCGATAATCGATATGTTTTTGCAATACCACCGCACAACACTAATATATATATAGAAATATAGAATGTGTTTTTTCTTTAATGGAAATATAATGGACTGACGAACGAAATCGTCTTCAGCTTGATGGCCGATGCTTGATACCATGGAAAGCATTTTAATGTGCAAGTACAATTACAAAAAACTTGTTCCGAATTTTATGATTATGATTTATGTTAAAACTCAGCCATCTCTAGTCCCTACTTTCATTGGTTAAATATTCTAGTAAATACTAAATATGAATGGTAGATTAAAAAAAAAGGGGGAGACTGGAGAGCCCAGACCTAGTAGGTACAATCAAATAAATATTAAATACCTATAATTTTATGTTTTATAATAACCTTTTTGATAAATAAAAATATGTTCGATATATAAAACGTATAATTGTATAAAATAGTGTATCATTTATTTTGCTTTTTGTCCTAGAATTGCTTTATGAAACATTGCGACCCTAAATAAAAACATACTTATTCAAGTTATCAAATTAATATTATCGCCTATCGGTATTGATAAAATATTTGTATATTGTATTTTTTACAAAATAAATTGTCTTTAACACTAGCTGTTTCAGGATTCGTTTAACTTTGACTACGTGGGTCTGTGGCGTATGAATATAATTTTATTTTTTTTGTCTATCTACTGAAGAATACCTTTAATTATGTACGCAAACGAAAAAATATTATTTTTGTGGTTATGGTGAAGGTAGCTTAGGAAGAACGGTGCTTCAAGTAAAAAACAAATTGTCATAATTATATCGCACAAAAACTATGAATAAATTTTGTATAATAATGTAATATATTGGCGTGTTTCCAATGTAGGTATCGTAAATGTGTATGAAAGTGCATGCGGTGGAAACGCGTGAGCTTTTACTCTCATATTTTTCGATAAATATTTGTGAATTTTCGGCCGATTATAAATCTTTGAAAATATTATCGCGACAGACTATATATTTTATGTTCAGTGTCCCGGGCAATTAAGTCGTAAGAAACTTATACAATATCTTTAATTATCGTATCAACATGGTTATTAGTTATTACTCATTTGTCTTTGTAGATTTTAGATTGATAATTCCTTAAAGTATCATGCAGTACTTATCTAATGTACAGACACTTAATGATTGTTTTTTTTAATAGTTTAAAAATCCTTAGAAACCCTTATTTTTAACATCCGTACCAATTTCCGATAATCATCATTAGAAGTACCTTTGTTTGAAGACCTCTCTACTCTATTATTTTCATGTCATTATTTTATCAATTAAAGTTATTGTTTAAATTTGCGATAGATGGCCTAATAAACAATTTTGGGGAAAAAATGTGTATTATAGTTTAAAATTGATTGTCATTCAAGGTATCAAGGTATCTGATGTGAAAAAATGTCAACTCCCGCATTAGTATAAGTATTTCTTCAGGTCAGCAGAAATTATATTAAATTAAAAACATTCAGTAGGTGTTAACAACAACTTTATAATTTTATGTTATTATTTAATGGATAAAGTATATTTAGATTTTTATGTCAGGATAATGTTTTTGCGTTTTAAAAATATAATACCATTTATACAGTCCTTATTTCTATAAAGCACAAGATAATAAATTATTAAAAAAAAAAATCATTTCATGTTTAATTATAGTGTATACACATATTTAATACAATAAACTAAATACATTTTATATCTTATAGATACGCATGCATATTAATATCAACACATCTATTTAATATAAATCAATTCTATTTAAAGATTTCATATTCTCCTAATTTAAATTAATAAAGGATAAATTATTTACATTTTTATACAAATTCACAATTTAATAGGTTTAATTTGGATTGAAATCAAAGTATTCATAAAATTATAATTCACAAAATAAAAAATAGGTTTACAAAAAATTAATTCATTTAATATGTAAATATATTCCAAATTATCAATTATTACAAAATCTATTGTTTATTATATAAACAAATACAAATGTTATATTTGTATGTATTAAGTTTTACAAATGTTATTGTTACTTTGATTATAATTAGAAATGGACATATAGGCCATGGATAATGTTGTATTTTAACCATTAGGAAAAAGAACTATTTACAACAATCTTCAACAAAATTAATTAATATATTATACATTAAATTGCAAAACTAATGGTAATTTGTGACTAATGAAAATATAATGATGTTCTTTATTTTTTACAGAGTTTTAAAAATAATTTATACATTTATTTGATGTATTTATGAGGATCGTTTTCGCTTAGCAGCTTTGATATCTTCAGTATTTGAGAATGAAGAAACATTTATTTCTTGAAATGAAACATCGTTGTTCTACATATTAAGAAATCAATTAATTATTTATATTATCTATATATTCTATATCATTACAATAAATTATTTGAACCAATCATATCTATACTTTTGTCAATATAAAAATGAACCTTGGCAGCCAGCTACTGTGCACAGTATAAATAAGTAGGAATTACTTTGCCTATTTTTATCTTGTAAGAGTCTATTGTTTGGTGGTAACACAACAATACTTGATAAAGATTAATTGTTGTCAAAGTTCCTTTTAATATTGAACTAAGTGTAAGATAATATTATCGTGTAATGGCTTGTGTAATTAACATAGTATGTAGGTAATAATGCATTTATAACACTGATACCAGACCAGTTTGATTTGAAAAAAATTAAATAAATAATTATAATTACCTGGTATTGATTATTGGACTTGTTTAAAGATGATGGGAACAACGTAATAACGGAGTTTGGTAATGTGACCTAGAAAAAAATACAAATAACAATATGAATGTGTATATTTAATAAATTATCATATTTATAAATACTTAATACTACAGAATTCATTATTCACTGAAATATCTCAGTAATTATTTTTATTTTATTTTTTTAATTTATAAATGTCGAATTTCTATAAAGAGATTTCAACATTACATGCAGAATTTGGCATATCTATGCATTACATTACCTATGATTTGTTTAACAAATTAATAGGATCTTAAGACAATTATAATACAAATAGATACATGGTTAAATTTATAATTCTTAGTCAAATAATTAAAGATAAATAATAAAAAAAACTATTAAACCAAAAACCACTAATGAGCATTGAGCTTAGTTTGCTTAACTAAGCCTATAAATATATACACATTAATATTTTTAATTAAAACATGATAAATTATTGTATTGTTGTTACAATTTTAAACAAAGAACTAGGTATAATTTGTTTAAAACATATACTTTTTCATTTCTTTAAAATTTTATGTCATGGTACTGTTAACCTTTTGAGAATTATTTCCTTGAAAATTCTGAAATTCTCTTTAACTTTGATTTTATATAATAATTATATATTTCCAAATCTATTTTAGAATAATCTAAAATTTATTGAATTTTTATCTCACAAATCTGAGTATTTGAATATTTTTAAAATGATAATGCAAAAAACTCATTTTTTAATATCTTTAGTTAATACCATATTCTATATTTTCAATTACAAATCAATTTAATCACAATAGGGATAGGTCACAGGTTTTTTACTTGGGCAGAGAGTAACTCATTTAGACATTTTGTATCAAAAACTTTCCTCAACAAATTTTCAAAACCACCTTGGGTAGATTACAGCAACTCACTGATTAGAAACAAATGATTTTAGATTTAAAATTAAATAACGCAAACTATTTTGTATTTGAAAATAGTCAATTAACAGTTTTAGAATTTTATTTTAATACTATTGTTTTTAAATCCTTAGATACATATAACTACTAAAAAAAACCAACAATTTTAACTGACCCTAAACTAGATGTAAAATACCAAGTATAAATTATTATGATTTAAGAAGATGTTAATATTTTTATTTTTTTTTTTTTTGTAATACTCAAAAATTATGCTATTATTGATATATTTATTTTATATTAGTAAATTTGAATAATTTCATTAACAACATACTTGTAAGTTTGACAAACTATCAATATTTGTAGTTGAATTATCATCAACTTGTGTGGTCTCTTGATATATATCATTAGGTTCATTTGAAAACTTTTCTTCAGTTATATCAGCTATTAAAGGCAATTTATCTTTGTTAATTGTGACGTCTGAACCTTTCAGACAGATTGAATTACGATGTACATGTTTTACAACTGTTATATTTTTCATTTGATCATTACGAGAACTTAATTTTGATTTATTATCATTTACAGATTTGTACAATGGTAGTCGACTGTTTATACTTGTATTATTAAACAATTTTTCCAGTAAAATATAATTTTTTTCCAAACGTTTTTTATGATCAGTTTTTAATTGCATAACTGGTTTAGATTTAACATTTTTGCTAACATTGTGATCTTTAAATTGTTGTACATTTTTAGATGCTATTTGATAATCAGTATTTTCAGTATTTAAAGTAGCAGATGAAAATATTGTTTTTTGTCTTGGTACAAATGACATGGCAGTTGTAGTACTTGACACTGGTGGAAGTGCTGAATATTGTTCTAATGATACTACAGGTACTTCTTTAGCTGAAAATGAATCTACAGATATAGTGTTTGTCAACGATGATTCAACTTTATGAGGAATTGACTTTTTTGATTCAAAAGCTTGTACTTGTTTCTTCCTTTTTTTATCTATATTAATTTCTGTAAAATTAAATAGATTATTTTTCATACATATATTATGTAGAATTTATTAAAATTCCATTTAAATTGATTAGCTCATAAGTGTTTGAATTGGTATTTTAATAAATTAATGTAATTAATAAATAAAAATAAATTAACTTACCTAGATTTCTTGATAATGTTTTTGAACTACCAAAATTAATGCTTTTCTTCTTTGATTCCATCTATAAAAAATATATTTATTTATGTTTGAATAATGACAATCATTACTTATAATACTAAACAGAAAGAAAAATAACTATGACCAAACAAAAATAACAGCATAGTTGTGGCGCTTAGTTCATTGTGACTACATTTTTTTATAAACCTTTAATAAAAGTTTCATTAAAATGAAAGAAAACATGATCTAATATCAAATTTTAAAATAGGAATATTATCTGTGTTTTATTATCAGTTTTTATTATGTTTTAATTTTAGAACAAATTATAAATACGTAAAACAATATATCTAAAAAATGCTTAAAATATAACTAATAAAACAAAAAGAATACAAATATTCTTACCTTTAAATTATGTAATAGGTTAATTTACTATAATACAAACATCAAAATATAAAATTAATTCTGCTACATGTTTAAATGTGACCTCAACCCTAACATTGTAACCATTGACAAGTTAATATTAAACTATTTGATATTCTGTATACTTTAAATATTTATTATAAACAATTAGCAATAATTAAGTTAAATTAACTAATAAGAAAATATTTAATAAATAAAATACTATACTGCTTCATTTACATTACATAAATCTATTATATGTAATCTATTAATTTTACCTTATTGTTTACTTTTAAACGCCTTTTTGTTTCATCAGTTTTTTGTTGATTAGATTGATATTTATGTATATTTACTAACAACTCTTCTAACAACTAAAATTCGAACAAAATAATTATTTTCAAATTAACAATAAAAAAGAGATTTTTCACCATTTTTACCTTACAAATATCCGTGGGTTTAGGTTCATAAATATGGTCACTCAACAATAATGGAACACACATAATAGATCTAGGTACTGATTTATCATCACTTTTATATCTTCGAACCGCTATAATGTCAGGATTAACTTTTTTTTTCAGAATTTCTAATATCACATCAATATAGGCTTTTAACTTATTTGTTTCAAGGTTTATTTTAAACCTGTAATTACAGAAATATTACAAATAGTACCATTTAAATTATCTATTATAAATCTTATACCTCATCTTCAGAGCATGTGGAACTTTTGAATTCATACACAATAACATAGAGTATTCTCGAGTTTCTGTTATAACAAAAATATACAATTTAATAAGTTTAAATGATAGTAGACGGAAATCAAACTTCCACAAAAGATGATGAATTATATTGTCACTAGCAATATCCTCCTAAACATAAATAAGTATGACATTTAAAAATTTTAATATTAATTAATTTTAATTAAGCTAAATATGTAAAATTAATTTTAACAATAAAATTGTTTTTAACTAACCATTGATTTCGATAATTTTTGTGATTTATTCAACTTTGTTTCAGATAATGTATCTTCTTGCGACTTTTTTAATAAATCCATTTCAAACTTAGAAGAATCATCATTTATTACTTTTAGTGGATTTAATATTATAGTTCGACGACTTAACAATTGATGTTGTAACTGAACAGTTAAACCAGCAATAGGTGATGGATCCATGCACATAACTGGGAAATTTAATCTAATCAATTTACTCTCAATCTTTAATCTTCGTTTGTATGAACAATGTTTAGGACTACATTGAGCAATTATTCGATTTAAATCACTCTGAATGGACTGAAAAATAATGGCTGTTATGAAACAATTGATTTACAAAATTTACACAAAATATAAATTTTTTTTGTAAAAAATTTAAATTATTAACTTACCAAACTATGAGGATGCAATAAAATTCGATAAATTCTTGTTGATTCATCAGCATGATATTTATTATGAATTTCTGCTATTACACGTCCATTATAAAATAACATTGGATCAGCTTTATCAAACAAATGCAATAAACATGGTGGAAGTTGTTCTCTTTCAACAAATTCTAATATTGAATCTTCAGCATAGCTATAAAAAGTTTCAACTGGTGGTTTATCCTTATTCATGGTTATTTTAACTGAATAACCTATATCTACAGAGTACAAAGTAATCACAAAGACATTAGGATTAACCTCTGAAGGATCATCAAATAATTCATCTAGCAAACATGATGGGTATAAATACTGAAACAAATTAAAAAAAAAAAAAAAAATGAAACATTTTAACTTTACCATGTTATTTTATATCTACCTACTTTTTCAGGCCACTCTTTAGAATCAGCAAAAAAACATAATTTCTTTTTATGTATTTCATGTAATTTTTCAAATAAATTATACTTGACTTTTTTATTTTTTTTATTGCTTGGTATTTCATCAACAACTAACGGTATATTATAACTAAATTCAGGCTCTAATTCAGTACATTCACGTTCTAATTGCAAAACTTCCTTATGAAGATCTTCTATTTCTAAATTTGGCTCAACAAACTCTTCTGGAAATTCTTTCATTTCTAGCAACTGTTTTTCATCAACTTTTTGTTGTAATGCTTCAATCATTTTTTGTTGTACTAAATCTTTATATTCTTCTTTTGTTTTTTGAAATTTGTCTTTTAATTCATAAAACAATTTTTGTTGTTTATCATAAACAGGGTCATTTAATGTATTGCCTTTTAACTGTTGTTCTTTATCATACTCTAATTTTGAATTTTTATAAAACTCTTCTTGAAATTTTTTCATTTGTTGATGTAATTTTTCTTCTAACTGTTCTTGTTGTATTTTCAATTTTAAAGGTATTTCATCTAAATCTTGTATATTTTCTATTTCCATTTGTAAATGCAAATCTTCAAATTTCTGAGATTTATCATTATCACTTTTTTCATTTACATTTCTTTGTAACTCATGTACACTATCAATACATTTTATTTGTTCTTCTTTATCAATCTTCTGTTGTATATCTCTTTTACACTGTTTTAGTTCTGTAGAACTAAATTTTTCATCTGTAGAACTAATTTCATTTTCCATAGAAGCAGATTCATCAATTGAATTAAGTTCTTCTACTGAAGAAGATTCGATTGTTTCAAAATCGTCAACTATTTCAGTTACTATGTTGATATCTTCATTTATTTTTTCTATTTCTTCTTCACTTTCCTGTGATGATTGTCTATCAGATTCGTCTGTATTTAATTCAGACTCTATTTGTAAGTTCCAATCCAAGTCTTTTTTTACTTCGTCATCAAATCCTTCAACGTCTACATCAGAATCTTCTTGTATTTCATCTTCGTTTTCTATGTCAGACTTTTCTTGTTCTACTTCATCCTTAAATTCTTCCATTTCTATGTCAATTTCTTCTAGTACTTTTTCAAATGTGTGTGTATTAACATTAGACCCTTCTTCTATTTCCTTAAGTTTATCAATTTTATTATTGATTTCTTCTTGTGTTTCTTCAATCTTATTAACACTTAAATCAGACCTTTCTCTAAGATCTTCATTAAATTTGGAATGATTAGGATCTATCGATATTTTACCATTAATTTTATCTAATTCAGTTGGAAAATAAATGTTAAGCAAATTTTCAATTCTTTTATAATATGGTGCAGATTCTTGTTTAAATGAAAAAAGTAGTTTTTCTAAGAACTTTTCTTTGACTTCTGTAGAAAACATACGATTAAATTCATCATTATACTTTTTTTCTAATTCTTCATCGTGCTTTTGATCCATATCTAACTCTAATTCTTCAATTTCCTTTGTTATTTTTGCAATTCGTATTGCTAATAATTCGTCACATTCTTCTTCTTCTTCTCCTTCTTCATTTACATTGTTCTTTATTTTTTCTTTACCTTGTAAATCACTTATAAGTAAATCAATTTCTTGTAATATCCTTTTATGATTTTCATCCATATTATCTTCATATATATTTTTTTGGGTTTCTTCATCATCTTGCTGAAGTTCTTTAACATTCTGTTGCACTTCATTATAAAATTGTTCTTGGAAATTATCATGTAATTTTGGTTGTATGTCTTCTTCTTCCATATTTTGAATCAATTCTTTGTTTATTTTATCTTGAATATCTTCTTCAATATCCTGTGATAAATTTACTTTATCAAATTTAATTTGTACATTTTTATTTAATAATTGTATACCTTTGTGAACTGTATGCTTCAAATTTTCATAAAATGCTTTTTGATTATCTTTATCAATGTTTTGTTGATTTTCTCCAAGTTCTTCATGTTTATTTATATCAAGTTTTTGTTGACACTCTGAATCAACTTGTATATCTAAGTATAACTCTACTTCTGCACCAGGCATTGGTGGGGCTTCAATCTGTAATTGTATTTGTATTTCTTGTTTTTCTTTTTCAAAATCTTTAATTAGTTCTTCATTACATTCATATTTTTTATCTTTAACAATTTCTGATTGACCATCTACATCGAGGTTTTGCTGTTTCTTACTTAACTCATTTTGCTCTTCTCCAATTAATTCTACTCCACATTCTAACTTTTTTTGTACACTGTTATTAAATTCTTTAGATAAGTTAGTACTTAACTTATCATGTTCATCATGATAAGATTTATTTACAACTTTTTTTTCAATCTCGTGTTTTTCTGTGTCAACCTGAACAGGAGCAATTTTGTTAGATTTTTGTTGTATATCATTATAAAAGTATTGTGGTATATCTTCTAGCTTTGTTTTTTTCTCCAATTTCTGTTGTTTCATATTTACTTTATTAATATATTGTTTATCAAATTGGTCTTGCTTTTCTCCTATGATCTGTTGTTTATTTACTTTAATTTTTTTTTGTACTTCTTTTTCTTCGCTTTCAGCTTCATCACTATCAGTTCCCCCCGCTTCAGTTTCTTCACTTTCTTCTTCTGAATTTTCTATGTCAACAGTATGCAGATATGAATGACCAAGATTTAGTAATGCCTAAAAATTAAAAATTTAATCTTTCAATACTATTTTAATAAATTATCATTGTTATCTATTAATATACTGTAAATCATATGAATGAATGTTATTATAATAAATAATATAAATAAATAACTATTTAAGTTTAATTATTATTTCAAAATAATAACTTACTCTAGCAATTCTTATTTGTTTATCAGCTAGGTTTTCCATGATGACTCTAGCTATAACACAAAGTAAATAATATTAAGTAACTAAAAATTATAGATTTAATTGTATTTAGGTAAAAAGTATTAAAAATATTTAAATTATTATAAACATTAAATGTTTAATATTATAAAGTATGGACAAGATACTACCTACATCAATTTTTAGAAAACATTTTAAGGATCTAGGCCAAAGATTGTAACTAATAATCTGAGGGGAAAGAGGAATAAACCACCAAAATTATTTTACTTAAATACTGTTTTTATTTTTTCATTATTTATTTCAATGTAGACTTAGAATAAACAAAAAAACAAATATTTTGGATCTATAAAATGCTTTTTTTTAATCATCCAGGCCACTTTAAAAACTAGTTTTCAACCCTTGGTTTACACTTAAGAATAATTTAAAAAGTGGACTTCTTTATTATTTAAGTTTAATGTTAGTATTTTGCTTTAAAATATATAAACAATTATTAATTTGTTATATTAAAATAATTGTATTATTATATTATATTAACAGGTTTTATCAAGTGGATGAATGTATAAACAGTTTGTAATATTGTTTGTGTTAGATCCATAATATTAACAATTACAAATGCACCTATAATATAATAAGAATAAAATTACAAGGTTAATCTTAATGACTTATTTTTATAGTAAACCATCTGGATAATTAAATTTTTGCCAACATAGCTGTACCCAATTATCTGAAGATGACTATTAATTCTAGAGAAATGTATATATGTATTGGTCCTACTGTTATTGATAGAATACTTAATAGTCATTGACACAATTTTATGATATTATGAATTAAGAAATTAATTATTTGAAGAATTATTATAATTTTTTTTACTGTAAAATTACTTAAAAAAAATCTGAAAGTAACAAGTATAATAAATATCCTACATTTTGGTAAACTTATGTAATTTATAATTATAATTACAATATTTGATTTTTAAATTGTATCGTATAAAACTTATTTAATAATTAAATCGTAAAAAAAATTATTTATTTTATAATTTTGTTTGTAGGGACCTATGTACTATTGTAATTTTGAATATATTTATTTAATAATTATATTAAAGTTTATGTAATTTCTATATTAGATAAATATTAAAGCATTAAGGTGACAAAATGATTTCTACATGCATTTATATTATTTACTTTATATTTTATACCTAGTTTTATTTTATTTCACATAAATATACTTGTTCATACATCTAAACCTGTAAAATTCATTATTAATAATTTATATAAGTTTTTTTTTTTAACTAATAAAAAATGTATTGATTTACCAAGTTGAACATTATAAATTTAACAAAATAACTTGAAATAATTGAATAATTTATTAAGATAGATTATAATTAATAATATTTTTTTTAATAATATACAAGCTTATTGAAACATATAGTTTTCAACAATTTGCCGTCATTATTGAAATGTTTAATTAGAATTGATATTTAATACTGTATATCTGATATCATTTAAAAATTATAAATACTCTACATTCTATAATGTGTCTAGGTATATTGTATGTAAAAGTTAAATTCAAGTGAAATGAGAAAACATCAAATTGGATAAAAATTATTGAGTGGTACCTATGGATAATTGTCAATCTACCAGCCTAAATTTAGTTCCCACTCCATTGGACCAAACACCAATAATGCATTTTGGTCCACATAAATATTTCCAAGATTAACATTAAATCAGTGATCTACCAACTTGAAACAAATTCAATATAATAATAAGAACTTACCGTCGTATTTCACAGCATGTAAAAATCAATGTCGTCTAAGAGAACTGGGAAGTTGTCACTACAATAAACCTATGTTATAGGTACTTGAATTTATTCACCAGGTAGTAAAATAACTGATTAATAAAAGAAACGAGTATAAATACTAAAGGCTGTGTATTCAACTTTGAAGTATTAAAGTATGAACCTTATAGACATTAATGCGTTACACACTGTGTCATAAGACAAGGACTCGTTTATGTGGAGATGCAGGTACTTCTTTATTTATGGTTATAATAATGCATTAATGTTCCATAATCCAATCTTCAATCATCATTCTTCAGTTAGACATATAAAATAAATAGAATATTTCCACTTCCCACTGACTGACCAGTCAATGATCATTATTTAATATCGTATTCTATATACTGTGGTCAACACTCCTGACAGGTCCTGTTGTGATCAATCCAAGCGGCCGGCACTCAGATTTCAGACCTTCAGAGGAAATTTTCTTTATATTATACAGTTTTGTAATTTGTAAACAAATAATTGGCTATGTGCCGCGTACGCATGCATCCGTGCATAAGAGTATAAGACAATTGAAAGTCTGAAGCTTCAAGCTACTGAAATCAACCTATAGTAACTATTATTGTAGATATTTATTATCTACCGTGAGACAAACAAAATCCCATGAATTTCATGTACGCGATAAGCGGCTACGCACGCGCATTTTAACATTCTAATTCTACCAGTTATCACTATATAATATGTACATATTCTTTTACTACTGCAGCTGGTTGGTAAAGATTTTAAAATAGGGTGTACGAATTTTGTACGATACTACGATGAGTACGATGTATACTAATTGCTAATAAATTCATATTATTATCACTTCCTAAATTTCATAGTTGTTAATCTCAAAAATCTTTTGAATCACATGAAGCAAATGATATAATGACGTTCATAAATCATGATACCTAGTTAATAGGAGAATTCATCTACCTACATAAATTATTATCCATCTCGGATTCATCTGTATAAAATATTAATAAATATTCGTCGAAGTATAAACTAGAATTAGTAAAAAGTGGGCATTCAGGTAACCACTTTCCTGTATAGTATAGACTATAGATGACCACTTGTCATTAATATTCGAGTGTAACTCATCATTGAGTAGGTCATTGTAATGGATGTGGATCTGTTAAATTTGAATTCAATAAGAAATCATTGCAAACAAAAACGATGGTTATTAACCAGATAGGGTCTGTTAGCCTTACGAGTTATGACTATAAACAGTAGGTAATTAAGGACATTAAGTACATTCCATCAATTGATCAAACATTTAAATTTTTTAATTGCTATTACTGTAATAAATTTTATTAATTTTACCAACTTTAATTAATTAATAATTATTATACATTTATACATCATATTATAATGGTATTAGTTTAAAATATATAATAGGTATTTTGTATTTATATCATATTATGTTAATATCAACGTTATTATAGGTACCTACCTATTCTTTTTAGTCAATATCACTGTGTAATTTTACATTTCATTGATGTTCCTAGGACATTCCATGAGGACATGTAACATCCCTACATGCGTATGTTGCATTAGCGTAACGCCATAACGGCAACGTCTCTATGCTTGCTAATGACCGTAGCAATTTTACACTTAAAAAACATTATCTTTATGTTTCCTTGTGTCATATACCTTAATATATATCTCCGAAACGTTACCGCAACGTCACATTTATTCGCCGTATGTATGTTTCTATTAAACATCGTATATATGTTTCTATCAAACGTTGAATATAAGTTTCCATTAAACGTTATATGTATGTTCCCGTTGATCATCGTATATTTTATTTAAGCTATTATTAGTTACATTTAAAAATAATATCTATTCTTGTATTTATAATAATAGTCAAAGTAGGGTACTGTACTACCACTAAGTCCTAACACCATAAAACAGGGTGTAAAGATGAAAAAGAAAATTCATTTTTCATGAGTGTATCTACTGTTATTCTAATAGGTAAATTTTTGTTTTATCAACATCAACTTTTTTCAATTTGCTTTCTTATTTTTACAAGTTTTAAATAATTTAAATTTTGTACCTCCTAGTACATTTTTCAAATGCTACTTATTCCATTAGATATAATAAATCTCATAAGGCTGATTTAACTATTTTCCCTTGGCATATACATGTTTAAATAACTTCATAATGTATGGATAGAAAATATAATTTAACACTTCAATATTTAATTGAGTGTATAGATCCCAGATTTTTTGAAGGGAATTATAATAAATAACTAAATACATAGTTTAAATCTTTTAAATATTGGCATTTTATTTAGGCACCAATGGTAATAAAAATAAGCAACATATTATTAGATATTTGATATTATAATTTATGTATCTATTTATGTATAGGTAATTATATAAATATATTTGGATATACGATTTATTATTATGAACCATATGTAAGGGCATCGAGGTATTACATAAAAATTAGAAAACAATACAGCTGCACTACGTCTAATTAGTAATTATATTAATTATAACAAGAGTTCTTCAATAACGCTGTCGGTACGTTTCATCTGTACCAGAGATTTCTTGGAACTATAAACAGCACACAAAAAACATCTATGGTACGTTTCATATAGTACTTGACTGTTCATAACTTTGAATAGCGCAAAAAAAACAAACCAGTGATATCGTGCTTGCGTTACAAATCAACGTCGATCACGAAACACCATAATAATTAATAACCTTCCAAATACGTTATAAAACATAAATTGCACAGTGGAAGAATATATATAGGTACCAATATACGAGTATATTACTCAATACCGACTTCAGGGCCTTCAGGCGACTTCCATAGAGCGATGTGAATAGGTTTAGGGTTTATAAATAAGTAAAATAATAGCTTAAAATTGAAACATTTTTAAAGTTGCATTGTAAATTATAGAATTTACGTAAAAGTTTTTCTAATAAATGTAGTTTTTAATGAATAATATTTTTGATTTTTGATATTTTTTTATGAAAAAAAACTCATAAGATTACCTATCTAAAATTATAAGATAAAAAAAACTATTTTAATATTCTACTACTTATAAATAATCAAAAGATTATCTAAGTTATTTCTAGGTAACAAATATTAAGATAAGTACTGTAAACTTAATAGTAAAAATGTGATGATGTGTGCATAGGTACAACCATATACCTAGTCAATCAAAATTACAATCAACTTTTGTTACGTAATTTTGTGTTGTATTAAATATGGAAAGTTTTTCTTTAATTTTTTCCACTGTTTGCATCTGTAATCCTATGCCTCCACCATCGCTGAAATAAACAAATTACACATTGAAATACTATATGACGTATAATTAACTATATAACATATGTCCATATAACCATTGAGTATACTCAATGCCCAATGGTATTACTAATAGAAAATTAAATTAGATACTTATTTAATTAAAGTTATAAATACATTACTTTAGGTGTTAATCAGCTCCTATACAATAGATCGAATTCACCGATTTTTTTTTATTATATGTTTCAGCGTGGCCAATAAAATAATCTCGAATATAAAATTGTAGTTAAAATTAAAATTAAAAAAAAAAAAAGATATAGTATAAATTTACTTTATATATTTTTAAAATTGTATAAATTAATAGTTATTTTTCTTCTATGTAGAAACATATTATATATATTTTTAAATAAGTAATGAAGATCTTTTTGTGTATTGCAATTTATTGTAACCTGTGCAGTAATAGAAGTAACTGAGTTACATATTTACATTTGTAATCACTAATCAGTATAATCACTAATCACGGACTAAGATATAATAATATATTTTATTTCATGTTTGTAACCATTGTATCTTGTATTCATATTCTGTGCTTGTATTTAGTTACATTTTTTATAAAGTAACTTTTATCAATTAGGTATATATCTTGTATTTTAATTACTATTTTCGAGGAGTAATAGACATACATTCTTATAAAAAATACTTTTATATAGTATTTTTTTTTTGTTTTGACTTACACATATCTATAACGTACAATCCACTATAATAATATAATTATTATATTCATTAGTTTCAATCGATTTACAGCGAATTTATATTCTATATAATTATTTGTGTTTTATAATTTATAGGTAAGTATAAAAAAATAGTAATATAAAAATTGATGATAATACTTATCAAGACATCCTAAATATTCAAAAAATATTTAATGTCAGTATTATCTTATTGTAACTATAAATATTAAATAGGTCATAATTATTTATAATTTATTTATTTTTAAATCTTATATTTATATTATGTATACACTATAGAGTGAGACACTTTTCGATCAAAAACGTACCTTTCCCTTTTCGGCCGAATCACTTTTCGACCAAATTTTGAAAAAGGTCGATTTCCTTTTCGACAAAAACGTACCGTTTCCTTTTCAGCCGATTCACATTTCGACCAAAAAAAGTATTATTAAATAATAATAATTATAAGTCTTTATGTAAAAAAAATAAATTTGTTAGTTATTTTTAAATATAGTAGTAGGTTAGGTACAAATAAATAATGATAATAATTACATAATATAAGTCTTTATGTTATACATATCATAAAAAAATATTAAAAAATGTATAAGTTGTATAAAATACTAATAATAATATAATCATAATATTCATACGTCATAATTCATTTTTTTTTTATTCACTTTTGTTAGCACTGTTTAGATTAGGTTGCTGGTTCACTACTTTTCAAAGTAGTTATTTGAAACCAACTTAACAAAATCATACCTACAAATATAAAAGTATACAAAATATATTTACTTTTAGGTAATTATAAAGCATAGCTATATACTATATCTGTCGAGTTGTCCGTTTTGATAATCCATAATGTATTTTTCATTTTTCAATAATATTAAATTAAACTTTTTTTTTGGTTGAAATGTGAATCGGCCGAAAAGGGAAGGGTACGATTTTGGTCGAAAACGGCCATGCCCACACTATACTCGACACTCGTATTAGAATTAGGATTATTATTGGACTATTATAGAGTATTATCTGGTCGTGTTGCCGTACTATACTTTTTGTACTAATGTATTATTGTTAAGACCTACGGGCCACAATGCATTAACGACCAACTAAAATTTTTGCCAGGGAATTATAAATTTAATTATATAAGATACACAAACGACGAATTCCGCTTTTTTTATAAAACAACGAGGTTAGATTAAATTTTAATAAATTAAAAAAATTGAGTACCTACCTAAAAACGTATAATAAAATTATGCCATACCAAAAAATAACTATTTATAATTTAATACATTTTCAATTTTTGAGTGTTAAAATTAAAAACTTTTAGGCCTTTTAAGGAATTTTTTATAAAAAATAGTTTGCAAATAATTTTGTGATGATTTAATGAATTTTTCGTCAAAATTTTAATTTCTAAAGCTTAGGTATAAACAAAAATTGTGTAACATGTTCTTATGTATTATCGATATTTTATAACTACTTTAAGTCTTAAGAACTTAGATAGCTATATGAGAAAGAGAAACTAATAATTATATAGCCATATAACTTATAAATATCTAAGTATCTTACTACTTAAGTGCATTTTCAAGCTTTTAAATTATAGAAACATATTCTATATATGTCTATAGTTTTAAAAATAGAGCCAAAATATTTTGAAAAATATATCATGATACGAAGAAAATGCCAATATAAATATTTAGTGAGGTTGTATAAATAATCTATACAGTTACTGAGTTACCTATATTCTTATTTGAATTACACAAAGAAATTGCGTAAATAGGTATTTTTGTTTTTCATTGGTTGCGGCCTGCGGGTATCGGAATCTATCTTGAATTGTACTAATCGTAGTACCTAATGAGTAATGACTATTGACGTAAAGGACCTACTCGCATACTTCTTCTGAAGTCTAAAGCACAGATTTAATATCTTACCAAGGTATTCAGTGTTTGAAATGTAAAAAAATTAATTCATGTTATCAATATTTGTCATAATTTACATTGAACAATGTTAGGTATTTGTTTTGTCCCTCACTGAGATGTAGATATGAATTTACAAGATTTATAAGTTATAATATAAAAAAAAAAATAGAAGCCAGTGAAGACGTGGAGTTGTATATTATTTAGTATTTACACTTATTAACTAGTTAATAGACAATAATAGATAAGTTGGTAGGTACATACACACATGGGCACAAATGCAAATGTAGCTTATTTTTTTTTTTTTTTTGAGGAGGAGACTGAATTTTTCTCATATTTTCTAAAAATAATCTGCTTAAAATATAGTAATATAAATTGACTATATGATAAATTTATATAAGTGCGTAGTAAGTACGATGTATTAAATCTTGAATTGGAATACTAATTTCAATTGGCCCAATGAATATAATAGGTTTACAGTAACAGTATATTAAAAAGTTTTAGGTATTGTCTGGTATTTTATGAACATGTGATTCATGATTCATAAATTGTTTACTTAATGTCTACTACTGTTACTACTACAGCTACTATTTTTTTTTATAACTTGCTAATCAATTGTGTGTACTGCGTTAATATTCACGTCCTAATACATACAATTTTAATAATTTTATTAACAAATTATTATAATAGCTATTATTTTTATAATTGATATTATTATAATAGCTATTATTTTTATAATTGATATTCTGCGTATTACTATAATCTTATCTTTCTCTGTGGTTTTGTCATTATGTCATGGTTTGTTATGAATTTATGATAAAAACAAATAATTATGATAAAGATAAACTGCTATCGGCGCATGTTAGCCAGGCGGCTTCTCGAATCTCGAACCAGGCACCAGCTACGCCTTGTCGCTGAACAGTGAACAGTGTACACTGCAATCACTACATTATATAATATATAGTAATTAATAGTATAGTCAATAGTTATTACTTTTTAGTTATTAGTGTTATTACATATCGTTGTGGCGTTGTATCTATTTTAAAAATGTACTTCTCTACTTATCTTTCGTCATTGCCATCCGTCGTTAGTCATTACTTATTTATGTCGATATTTCAATTTCACTACTATACTTCATAATGTTTAAATCAGTATGGAAATGAAACGTTGTCTACTTAGTTGGTTTATGTTAGGTAAACCTACATTGCTTGTCACTTGTAATTAAATATTTTAATATAGATAGGTATCAAATACGTGTTATTGTTATGACTGGTTATTTTCCACGTCTTAAGTCAAAATGAAACGAAATCTTAAAAGCATACTTAAGTATTTATTTTTTGTTGTGATCACTGCACTCGTGACAACTGTAATTTTTAAATTTTCTACTCAATTTAATCGATATGAAAATAATAAATCTACGCATGAGAAAATGGATATTGCCAACAAGCAGTTGAATACAAATAAAAATCATAATAATAAAATTGACTGGCATGATTGGGAATTTATTAATAGAGAGAGACAGCGAATCGGTAATATTTTTATTAGAAGAATGCATTTTATTTTATTGTATTATATTGATTTAAGTAAATTGAATTATATTTAGGAATTGGTGAACAAGGAATTAGTGCTACATTGTCATCATTCAATCAGCATAAATATGATGAATTGTATAAAGTAAATGGATTTAACGCCCTGTTAAGTGACAGTATATCTGTTAATCGCTCAATACCAGATATACGGCACAAATTGTAATTTATTACTATAGTTTAAATATTTCATATACTCATGTTTAGTGGTGTACAAAAAAATTGTAAGAGCATTTCTATATATCAAAAATATTACTACCCAACACTTTTTTTTTATATGTAAAAAAAAATTGTTTCTATTTTTAACAACATTCCTATTCATATGAGTAGTCCACAACATTGAATTATTATAATAAACATATTAAACTTTCATGTGACAGTTGTTTATGCCCTCTCCTTTCAAAAGCGAATGCATTACTTATAACTTATCTGGACACCATTACTCATGTCATATATTTAATGTGCTTTTCAAATATTGTAATATATGTATTTGTATTAATTTACAGGTGTCGTTTTATAAAATACAGTAGTAAATTACCTACAATTAGTGTAGTTGTTCCTTTTCACAATGAACATTTCTCAACACTTCTTAGAACTGTGTATAGTGTCTTAAACCGTTCCCCTAAAAGTTTACTTAAAGAAATAATTTTAGTGGATGATTCAAGTACTAAAGGTAATGTACTTATTTCATTTGTTTTATTTTTTTTATCACTAATAATATATTTTTTTAACTTATTGATTTAACAAATTTATAAGTAACAATACTTGACATTCTTGATAATTTATAAAAATTAATTATTTTTCGAGTATTCATCTGCTAAATAAATAATTTTTTTTTCTAGCTAGTTTAAAGAGACCATTAGATAATTTTGTGTCAAACAATTTAGCTGATACCGTTAAAGTCATACACTTGAAAAAAAGACAAGGTTTAATTAGAGCTCGTTTAGCTGGAGCTAGAAAAGCTATCGGTGAAATTTTAATATTTTTAGATTCACATACTGAAGCAAATGTTAACTGGTTACCTCCCCTTTTAGGTATTATACTTCTTATCCATATTTTATATATTATTTGAACAAATTTTATTTTCATGGTATAAAATATAATGTGAATATAATAGTATTGTTTATGATATAATTTATTTTGTAGAACCTATTACTGAAGATTATCGAACATGTGTGTGTCCATTAATTGATGTTATTGCTTTTGAAACCTTTGAATATCGAGCACAAGATGAAGGTGCTAGAGGTGCTTTTGATTGGGAATTTTTTTATAAAAGATTGCCACTTTTGCCTGAAGATTTATTGTATCCTACCAAACCATTTCGGTAATGACTATTTACAACAATAAATAACATTTTTTAAACATAATTTTTATTTAGAGTATCTATTACACTGAACAATAATCTTACATGAAGTACAGAGTGGAGAAACCTTCCTCTAGAGGTACTTCATCATTAAAAAATAAAAAATTTTAAATTTAAATATTTTGTACAGGATAATTCTACTAAGCATGTTTACAGCCATTTTATCCTCTAATTAAGTATATATTCAAATGTTGATTTTTGGAATTTTTAAGTACATAATTTTATGTACAAAATGTTTTCAAAATGTATACAGATTTACATACTATTTAGGAAGTGTCCCGTGGTATTTTAATCATTTTTTTTTTTTTTTTTTCAATGGTAATAAGTAATAACCATTTATTTTTGTAAATTCTTAAGCTGGACATTTTTTTTTTTAATAAAATTGAATGTATAATTTTTAATTTATTAAACTAAAAATGATGATTTTAAATTCATAATATATTTTATTTAATAATTTTTATGTACCATATTTTCAATAAATATAATTTAATAACTAGGAAACTACATATTTTATTTTTAATTTAGGCGCATCAATATTTTTTAATCAATTTTTGTTATAGATTTTAAACTGAATTTGAATGAAATTAAAATTAAAAGAGAAAATACTCATGAGCATGCTTGATGAATCATTTTATACATTCAAATAAAATTGTTTAGCAACTAGTAACAAACTTAGCTTCTAGTTTAATATTTTTCACATAATTTATAACAGATAACTATCTTTGTTTTAATAGTTATCTTTTAAACATTAAAATTTTAATAAATTTACTATTAATTATAGTCCATTTTTGTTTGTGTTAAAGTTTTGCTATTAAATGTATTTTTAGTAATTTTATTTCATTTCTTTTAGGAGCCCTGTAATGGCAGGCGGTTTATTTGCTATATCAGCTAAATGGTTTTGGGAACTTGGAGGTTATGATCCAGGTCTCGATATATGGGGTGGAGAACAATATGAATTATCATTTAAAATATGGCAATGTGGTGGTACTATTTTAGATGCACCTTGTTCAAGGGTAGGCCATATCTATAGAAAGTTTGCACCATTTCCTAATCCTGGCATTGGTGATTTTGTTGGAAAGGTGAATTGCCATCTTATTTAATTATGTAATTTTTATCAAAATTTGTAAATGCATGAAAAATATTTTTAATAATTTTATCAATATATACTATTTACATATTATTTTACCATAGATAATTGTATAATATATTTAACTAAAATTGGTACTTTATAGTTCAATAACTTTTTATAAATGTATTCATCAAAAAATGTTATTACTTCTAAATTTAATTAAATGTATAAATTATTAATGTTAATAACACTATGTAATCAATAGCCATGTAGTTCATTATATTTTATTACAATTATTTTAGAATTATCGTCGTGTAGCAGAAGTATGGATGGATGAGTATGCTGAATATTTGTATCTGCGTAGACCCCATTACAGGAATATCAATACAGGAGATATAACTAAACAGAAAAAAATAAGGGAAAAGCTTCAATGTAAACCATTTAAATGGTTCATGCATGAAGTAGCATTTGATTTAGTCAAAAAATATCCTCCTATTGAACCACCAGATGTGTTTAAAGGAAAGGTATATGTATAATTCAACATAAACCCAAAATTTTTTAGATTAAAGTAAAAAAATATTTATTATTTATTATCTAATCATAAATTAAGTTTTTGTATAATAAAAAAGATTTGGATTCATTTATACTTAGAAGCAAAAAAAAAACAATAATTCTTTGTATTAATTTATAATTGTAATACTTTTAAATTGGAAAGTATATTAAGAAATTTAAGTTGTAGTTATAATAGATAATATTATATATTCACTTCAAGTCTACTTTTATTGATTTTGTTTTAGATAAGAACTTTTACTGCTCCAGAACTATGTTTAGATGCTACATCTGAAAATTTGCTCAATTTAAAAGAATGTATTGAAAAAGATGATGAAAATCAAGTAATAATTAGAAAACTTAGTTATTGATAGTAATAAATTTTAAATGTCTTAACTATTTTAGAAATTTATATTGAGTTGGCGGAATGATATTAAAACAAGAAATAATATGTGTTTGGATATAAGTGATTCATCATTCAAAGCAAAAATCAGCTTATATGGATGCCATAATGGTGGAGGAAACCAACTATGGCATTATGATCATGTATATTCATCTGTAATTTAGTTGTAAAAATGTTTGTTATTAATTATCATAAAATATTTTAGGGTAAAATGAAACTTGTTCAGGGAAAAAATCCTAGATGTATGGAACATGACATTAGCACTAGAAAAGTTTATGTTACTCAATGCAAACAGAACATAGATGATCAAAAATGGATAATAGAAAATTTCAACTCCAAATCAACTAACTGGTCATTATCATATTAAGAAACAAATATTATTTTAAAATTTAAGTAACAAATTATTCGAACAAATTATTTAAATATTAATACTTATTTTAGAAATAAAATTAAAATTGTAAATAAATTTTAGTTTTATACAATGTAATATTATAATGCTCATATGTTACAAATTCATTATAAATATTTAAAAAAAAAAATAACATCATTGATAAATCATAATTTAATACTGATGTAAACAAAAACTAATAATAACAGAAAATGTAAAAAAAAAAAATAAGTCATAGAAAATTATATTACAAAGTGCCTAACATATAAACATAACAAAATGTAATGTCATAAAGAGTATACCTTAGTATAAATATAAACAAAGTATCTATTTTTTTAACTCAAAATTTATATATATTAACCTTAAGTGATGTCAACTTTTCTACAATTCAAAAATTGTATGATTATTTTTAGACTAAAACAATATACATTTGAATTTATTCCATATTATATATCTTTTAATTTGAAATTAAATAATTGTTTTATACTACAATATCTTATAAACAACAATTGGCTTGTAAAGCACTGATGACACTTGTACCATACATAGTTGGTTATATTCATTAATTTTTGTCTGTGATATTATTTTAAATTGTATTTTGTTACTAATTTATATTCTTTAGTCTTAAAAATAATATAATGAACTATATTATAGTCTGACAATGTATTGAGCAATTTTATTTAAATATATTTTATATTTGATTGATTATTAATTAAATATTCAATTATACTTCCATTAATTATATTAACTGTGTAATAGTTTACTGTTCAATATACAATAAGAGCTATAAATAGATACATAAAAATCTATTTAATATTTACTGACATCATTGACTTCTAATAATAAAGTTTTTAATTTCAGATGATTTTTATATATTGAAACTATTAACTATGAGGTAAAATTTTCATATTTATATATTTTATCATATATGATACATACGCAACATCATATTTTGTGTTGACATAAAAATTAAAATACATAATATTAGTTTGTTATTGAAATATACAGTTATTACAGTTTATCTACTAGTAAACAATTCAAGGTATCGCATAGTTAAGAAACTTAAAGAATACAATCAAAATTTTCAAGAAAAAAAATGTATTATGTTATAAACATGTTAAGGATCAAGGTCTAAGTTTGTCTTTTAATAAATATCACTGGTATGTATATTTTTTTTATAACACTATATTTTGAAATAAAAATTCAAAATATTGACCAAACATTATATTATCAATAATAATTAAATTATCGTCTGTTCGCTTTTCGCTAGTCCATCAATTTTAAGCTTCTTTGATATTAAATTTTTGAAATTTTTCACTATGATAATTCATTTTTCTTATCAATAGTTCATTTATCATATTATCTTTAGTATATTACATAGACATATATGTCTATGGTATATTATATTATAGTCCTATCACTATCGTAAACAAATAAGCAGCCAGTATCAACTTACTGTATCATACAACAATTCAGGTTATCATTGTTAATGTAAAAAGTTGTTTTGTTACTTTGCTCTATAGTGTCTGTTCCTTATTTATGAATTTATTGAAATCGGAATCATAGTTGATGTACATTTTCTAAAATTTATTCGCCATATTTTAAAAAAGAATCATCTTTTCGATTAATTGTGAAAATTTTTTCTGTTAAGCAAATGTAATTTAAATACTACAATTTTTCTTATTTTATTCAGATTTAATTAAATTAATTCATACAGTTGCAGGTAAGATATGTCACTCTTAATATAGATATTTATATGTATTTATATTATTACGCGTTATTAAATAATTACTTTGGTGTATACTATGAAAAATAGCATTCAAAGTTTTTAGTTATTAAGAAAAACTGAGGTGTATAATAAAAATTATAAATATTAATACTAGTGATGATGGACACCCGTTGATAACAAGAAATTCAACCTATAACTAATTAGAAAACCAATATATTATACATACCTATTAATATAAAAATTGATAATTTCTAATTAATCACCGAATTGTAATTGAAAAATTATAACTATCATGTTCATTATTTCAAAAATCAATACTTTCAGTATAAAAATTAAATACAAGATATAAAATAAAGTCTGGCCATATAAGAAATAAATTATATTACATATTTAAAATTTATAGTTGTATTCTCGACTATGTATATATATTTATTATTTTATATGTAAATTAGAAAAGTATACAAATAAGTTTTCATTGCATATTTTTTTTTTTTCTAGTTTACAATTAATTATATAAACTTGTTTCGTTTTTCAATAATCTAATTAATGGTTTATATTTTTAGGAAATGAACCAAAACGGTTTCAGTACTGGTGAAGAAGATTCACGTGGTCCTCTTGATAAGATTTGCTGTTTACAAGAAGACGGATTTCGGTGTCAGAGACAAGCTGGAAACGCTTCTTATAGTAAAAAAATTCGTAATACTGTCAGACAACTTAAATTGCATTTGGATGCTGTTGTATGTTATATCATATAGTTATTATTTTTATGTATACTATTAGTAATTGCTTTCTAATTGAATAATATATATATATTTAGGCGAGACATATCTACATTTGTGATCATCACAAAAATATGATTCAAAGTGCTAGAACGTTGAAACCATCTAGTCAAGATGAAGCACCAGAAGTAGACTTTTCACAACTCCAGATGAATACCCTTAGACGTTATAAAAAACATTTTAAAGTAGTGACAAAACCCAGTCTGAATAAAGCTCAAATGGCAGAGGTAATATCTTCTATAATATATCAATTAAACTCAATATGTTTCAACATAGTTATTTTCAACTTGCTTTGTTTGACAAAATTTGTGCACAAAATTTATGTTTTTAAAATAAAAAATATATTACTAAACATTTAAGAAATAATCTTTATTATAAGAGATAACTTGAAAAGTAAACATTTTATGGAATAAGATTTGTTAGTTTATTTTTTAGCTGTATTATTCGATAAAAAAACAAGTATTGTAACTGATTAATTTTAAATAAATATATTAAAAGTTTTAATTATTTAACTATATTAATTTAATATATCTCATCATAATTTTTGTAAATTAATGATAAATTAAAAGGGATTTTAATTTCTTAAAATGTTTAACTAATTTTAACTTTTATGTAACCAATAAATAATGTATTAACCATGATTCTTTTTTTTTTTCTTAGGCGTTGTTAAACCATTTTAAAACAATATCAGTTAATGAAAAAGAAGCTCTTACTTTTTTCATTTACACAATCAAGACAAATGGTAATAAATTAGATCAAAAAAATGGAAACAATAATTCAGATACACTGTCATAGTTATGCTATATTTTATACAATTATTTTTACTTTCTTAAAATGTATGTTTATCTTTAGTGTTAACATTTATTTAGAATGTATAAAAAATATTTAAAGTATTAAAGAGCAATCAATCTATTGGTTTTTCTTTAAATTAGTGATTAAAAATTGTATGTATTATGTTAAATCAATATTTTTATTTACTTTGCTAAAAATTTAGCGTTAAAAATATTTATTTAAACCAAATGATTTATATTATAAATTATATGCTTCAATAAACAATGTACTCATTTTGAGTTTCAATTTAAGAAAAATGTACTTTTGTTTTGTAAACATTTTATTTATTATACATTTATAAATTAATAATATATTGATATTTTAATTTTAGGTAGACTTATTAGTTATTATAATTATTGATTTTAAAAACTATTTGAAAAATTTAATATTTAATGACATTAATAAAGTATTAACAATAAAATAACCAAGCATTAAAAATTGTTAAAATTATACAAAAATGTAATAACATTTTTATGTTAGCATTTTATAATAGATTTTTTATATCCATACAAAAATATAATTTTAAAATTTAAAACACATTTGTTTTCGAAGCTTCCATTAAAAAAAAAAATAAACATACTATCATTATTACTAGTTTAATTAGTATAATCACTGATATTACATTATAGTCTTAAATTTTAACTAATCCTCTGTTTATTTGATAAATACTTAGAATTGTTGTAAATATGATATTATTACTATCTTATAAAAAACATGTTTAATCTTGGATCATATTGTTTATTAAAATAAAAATATTAAATATCCATTTATTAATCTACATTGATAAGTATTCAAATATATTCAAAACCTTTAATTTCTATAAATGGAAATGAAAAAAATTTAAAATATGTATTATAATAATTTGTCCTATAAATTTACTTATCAATGTTACAATTTCATATAACTATATGAGTATTTTTGAAAATCTAAAATTTAAATTGTGGACTTGGTTTTATACACAGCTATAGAATTAAACATTAAGAGGATGTTATACCTGAATACCTTATCTTAATCAACTTAATCTTACTAATGGACAGCATAGACAATTTGTAATTAGTCATTTAAAATTTGCTGTTGTTGGCTATAATTGGGGCTTGGTACTTGTAGGAGTTTGTATATTTTTAAATAATCATTAAAAACAACATTAGCTAATTAATATAGAAATTTGTTTCATGGTAATATGAGTTTATATTTAAAATTTATAGTTGCAAATTTTAGTGGACCATTTTTCATTCTATAAATGCATATTTAACAATTATTTATTTGAACGAGTAAGTTTATTTTATAAAAAAAAAATAAAATTTTAAATTAAGTTTAGTTTAATTAATTTAATTTAAAATTTTTTGTTTTAGACTAAAACTTGTTATAGTATGAAAATAAATCTGAAAAAATGAAAATAATTATCTCTAATTAATCAAATTAAACTATATATTTAAATTTATCTATTTAAGTATCATATCTACAAATATTATCATTTATTAGAAATATATTTTTTTATATGCATATTTTAATAGCATGTTTAGTGATTTTTTAGGGCACAAATGCATGCTTATGTTAAGGTTTTTTAGAACACGAAGTCCCTAGCCCTAGTTATAATATTAAAGTAAATTAACTTATTATCAAACTTAAAAGTACGAACATTATCTATATCCTCTCATTCTTGTTTATAACATTTTAATTTTTAACCAGGTTATAAGTATGTAAAATATTAATATTTAAACATGTATTTTAGGGTTAATGATAAATTTATTTGCTCGAGTAATAAATCTAACAGCACAAACATAGAAGTCTAAAGTTAATTTTGGTACATTATGATTTAGTAATATAAAGACAACATATACAAGTATTACCTCCAGTTAAGTATCTTAATATTTTCTCATGTTACTATTTATTAATTAACACCATTACAAATCATTGTTTTTATTTTAATATTAACTGAAATTTAATATTATGATTCATGATAATAATTATCTTATTGTTTTACATTGACTGTGTTATTTGATTTATAGTCTTACATTTTTATAAAATGAAAAATTTTGAATTTACGATGTTATATTAAAATATTATAGGTAACTCACAATAAATAACTATAGAAACTTTAAAATTGGTAGATTTATATTTTGTATCTTTACACATGATATAATTGTATAATATTTGTATGTTCAATCTTATTGAACTACCTATTTAAAGATATTCAATATTTTAATTTTTTTAGTTTTTTTTTTCCATAGATGCTGATAAAAATGTATTGCTGAGTAAAAATATATTTATATTCTATGGTGAGGTGGAGTCAACTCAAAAGTTAATAACAATGATAACATAATATGGTATAGAATATAAATAAATATTATTTTAATAATTTATTATTAATAATAAAATAGAATAATCTATTCTATAATCAATGCTAATTACATAATAAATGCAATGTTTTGGCATAAATTAATTAATAATCTTACTACCTATTATACTTATAGTAAAACAAATTACTTTAATAGCTATATTAAAAACATATCATGAAATAGGTATACCTATTATGATATAGGCTGACAGACTGTTTCCATTCAAAATAATTTTTCTTTTACATTATTACAACAATTTATCAATTAAAATTAAACACATCTATTACATTATCACAGTGTTATTTCTAATATTTAAGCCAAGTTGACTAATTAATGTTTAATATTACTTGTCTCTCTTTTGTACAATGGCAACAAATCACTTTTGATTTATAGGTATTTTATAAAATAAAAGGTATTTCTTAAATAATATTGTATTCACATATTTAAAAGTTTAAAGTATTTTTAAATTTATAATGACTGTAATGTTTATTAAATAAATATTTAAACTATCTGTACTTAAAAAAACTTCTTAACATGTTTACTGTTTTGTATGATGTTAATAAAATGTTAATCTTACCATAAAATAATGTGAACAATACATTTTTTAAAGTAAATAATTGCTTTGTATTTATTAATGATTAACTTTTAAGATATATTTTTAGATTTCAAACAAAACAATGAATTTAATTTATTGAATTTTTTGTTTTTGTCAGTTATATTTATAGATGAATTGTTTAAATATTCTAAAAAGATTTTCAATAACTAACAATTTTAGATATATTGCATTATTTAACACTGAATTTAAAAGCTGTACTAATTAAACTGTGATATATCCAGAATTTTTTAATGACCAAGATTTTTGATACTTACTGGAATAACTAACATTTTAAGATATAACTTGAATGGGCTAAAGTTCTTAACCTAACCATAAAACTGTTTTCAAAAACCGCCACGGAATAATAGTATTAACATCAATAAACATAATAGTTTGTATTTAATATTAACTATAATTAACTATAATAAATTACAAATAAATTTATAAACTGTGTCACAGAAAATATTTATAAAATATTGAAATTTTCAATTTTGTTGAAATTGCAATATATTTAAAATTAAGTAATGAAGTGTATAGTCACAATAGTAGTCATTAATCATTATATCATTATTAGTACCTATTGTCAACACATATTTTTTTTTTTTAATTTTTAGCCTTTTTAAAAATTATTTATCGGTCACTACTGTGATCCTAAATTAATTATTTGATGTACTACAATCCTTATCTTTATGAATTTACTTACTTATTGGCTACTAATTATACCATATTACTATCATAGTATAATATGTAGGTATTAATGGTATTACATTGTAAATTAAATATACAGATGAATATATAGATGAACTTAAAAAAAGAAAGAATTCTTAATTTATAAAATATTTTGAATAGATTTATCTAAATTTTTAAAAACTTCAAAAGTAATTTTAGCTCAAGGTGCGGTGATTATGTAAAAGTTCATAAATATTTATTCTAATTTTAGGTACCTTCATACAGTTTTAAATTTTGAATAAAGATATTATGTAACCAATTTAGGTAAAAACAAATGTTTATTAAATTATAATTTAACCTACCTACCAATTTGATTTTATGGAATAAGTAGTTGTTATTAATTATATTTCAAAATTCAAACTATTCAAATTTTGTTAATTGTATGCACATCGTATCAATGCATTTAATAGTATAAGTTATATAGGTATATTTATTAGGTATTTACAAATTCAACAACAAATAACAATAACATAAGAATGTTTGTAAAGGTACTTAAATAAATACCATTAAGGAATCAACTATGTAATTACCCACTTATTATAATTTATTTTCACTTTTCAGTTTAAAAATACATAAAAAAAAATTTAATCTTAGCATAACTTTATCAATTTAAACTTGATACAATAAAAATTAAAAATTAATTTTTTTTTGGTGTTTATAATTTTGAATATATATTTTGCATCAAAACATAATTATCAAAAAGTGAAACAAAATCAGTAGACAATGTTATAATTTTATAATTATACCTATAGAGGTGAACTGTGCGCACTCAAGAATTTTGTTTATAGGGGCTTATAAACTTTCCTATTTTCTTTGCATGTTAGTTTATTACACACAAGTAAACAATTATTAAATACTAATTTTTAATAATAATTTTACTTCGAAAGAAAACGTCTTTATTATTGTAGTGTATTTATAACAAACCAATAAACTATAGTAATACCTATTTAATTTAATATAAAAATATTAATTTTTGGCGAAGACAGTTAGTCTCAAACCTTCCCAGGATACGCCATTGGTTTATTGTCTATGAGTAACAATGTATAACTTTGTCGTATAATATTTTTATTTTCATTACTATTATCATTTTTAAATAAGTTTTGTGTATTGTAAAACTACGTATATGGATGCATACAATTATATAGATATTCGTGTTCATACTATGTATTAACTATTAAAAGACATAAATCCTCAAAATAGTATTTTAATGTTTTCTGAGATATTGATAATGATAAAAACGTAACTTAAAAAGTTGAAAAGCAGAAGCAAAATCGTAATTTAAAATGTTAAAACAATTACTCTGAAAAATCCTAAAAACTGAATTACAACCC